TTAAATTCAATGGTTTCTTGTTGGATTGGTGTTGCTGTGTGTGATCGCTATATATGTGTTGGGTTTTTCATCTCTCCAAGATGTCCATCTGTTTCATTTATCTTTTTCTAAAAGGGAGTCTGATTCTCACTAGAAAGTTTACTGTACTTGAAACACGTTTGGGGTTAGCATACCCCAAATTTATTCCATCTGTTTTGGTTTTAAAATTCCAAGTTATTCTCAGTTCAATTTTGAATAGTCCTTTTTTCCTCTTAGAGAGGAAGTATGTTAGAGATAAAATATTCTTGAGCAATGCTAGAAAAACAATTTTCTATGTAGTTGTAAAGGAAACAAAGCTGATTTAGTATAAACAGTCCTAAGCATGGTAATCAATCAAACCAAGTTTGTATCCCTAATTATATAGATAAAGTAGTTTATAGTGATGGGACAGGGAGAAATGAGACACTCCATGGGGCTCTTCTCACAATGAAGGTGAAAGGTCTTTCTGTGCTCTTGAAAATGCTTGTACTGGATATTGATATTCCCTAATGCTTCAATCTGGCAATGCCTCTACATAAATACATGAACATGGGCACCCAGGTTTTGTACATGACTGTGCTTTAGTATTGTTACTGGGGTTCTGAGGAAACAGATGGGAGCAAGTAAGTAGAAAATCTGGATGCCTCTTGGCTGGGATGGGAAAATAGATGATATAAGGTCTCACTGGGAAGACACTGACACGGAATATTTCTAGTAAGTGTTAACTCAGCTATGAGGTTTTAGAGATGTTTTCTGCAAATTTAAGGAAGGGCAAAAAGTCAGCTCTGATCTCTGAAGAGACCTAGTGGGCTGGTATTCTTTTCAGGTTAACACTGATGATTTTAAATCTCTATTTTTTAATGCCCTATTTAATAAAATTTGATCTTTGGGCTGATGCTTTTATAGTATTTTTATTTCTTTTCTTTTCAAAAGAGGTGTTTTCAAGGCACACAAGTATCTTGAGGGTAGGTCTCAGGAAGATGGGTCCAGGCTCTTTTCTGTGTCCAGTGACAGGACAGGGGGCAATGGGCCCAAACTGACACATAGAAAGGTCTGAATATAAGAAAGAGCTGCTTTACTTTGAGGTTGGCAGAACGCTGAAACAGTTTGCCTTGAAAGGTTGTAGAGTCTCCTTCGCAGGAGATACTTAAAATCTGCCTGGAGGCAACCCTGTAAACTCCGCAGTGGCCATGGTCTAGCTGATCTCCAAAGGTCCCCAACCTTTGTGATTTTCCTTCTCTCTGAGTGATTTCAAGCTTTAAAGAGCAAAGTGGAGCAGTGCTATCATTTCCATGTACTACTTACAAGATGTCCACTGTTGTGATTCCCTGGAGCCCTAATAATATACTTCAGTAAGGATTTCGTATTAAGTCATGCAGAAGGGAAGATAAGAAGCAGTTACATGCTGCACGCCAAATGAAAACTAATGTTGTGTGGGAGGATACGGCTGAAGTATGTGCTGCGGAACATGTCTGGTTTACATTGTTTTGTCTCTTAGATCCTCTCTGCTTGAGCGCAGTCTACTTACTTCTCTGTGCTCTTTTCCCTCCTCCTGCCCAAAAACTCATGGCTGACTTGGGTTAAGAGTTAGGAGTGGTACAACAGAAGTACCGTCGGACAAAAATACTTGCCCTCCACAGTTTCAGGGCCACTGTCCCGTACTGTTTGGTTTTATAAGAAATTCAGTAGCTGCTAATTGTAGCTTGTCAAAAGGATGTGTGAAAATATGAGGAGGTAGAACACACTTTATAAAAAGAAGGGGTTTATTAACTGGAGGCATGTTACATGCTTTGGAATAGGCATGTTTATGTAAAAGTCAATTGTATGCAATCAGTTACTGCACCACCACGCTGCCTTTTTGTTAGAAAGAAGTAATTGCAAAGGAAAGAAATGCAACAGATATAAAAATACAAAACAGTACATGGTCGACTTCTGCAAAGGCTTTAATTTTTTCTTCTTATGTAAATGAGTGAATGTTCTCTATTTTACTTGCTTGGAAGGAACCTTGTATGAACTGTTAATAAGAGGAAAACTATATACAAATGAAAGAAAAATTTGGCTGAGTAGTCATAACATCTTCAAGCTTGGTGTTTTGGAAACAAGGCATTTAGTTTATGCTTTAAGAAACTTACAAGTACACCACCACTGTTTTCTCATCTTCTGTAGTCCACTAGCAGAGTAGCAGAAGGTTGTTTATTGGAATACCTATCAGCTGATGTTTGCTGTGATTTCTGAAATAAGGCATCTGATTATAATTAAAATGCATGATGCAGTAAAGGTAAAGATAAGTTTCATGAAAGAGCGGTCAAACTAAATTCTTACAGAGCTTTTATAGGGGATTGTTTGGATTCCTGTGGAGAGATTGCAGATGGTTGCAAGTTTTGTTTGGAATTTTTTTAATAAGCAGATAAGAGTTTTTTTAATAAAGTAAAAAATCTGTCATGATGTTGATGCTGATGGCTAGTGGGCTTGCTTTTCTTGCATATGCGCTGAGAACCCTTAAGCAGTAATCCCAGTGCCTTGGGGGATACTCAGATTGCAAGTTGAAAACCATTGTTATAGATAATTAATTTCTTCCTTATGCTTTCCACTTCAGCAAGAAAATAATGTAGCAGTTCTTAGCACTGCTCTCCCAAGATTTAGAGACAAAGATAACTAGTGTTGCTTTGCATCTGCTTTTTTGCTGATTACTTTTGCCCATTACTTAAAGCCTTGAAGCCAGGTTAATGGCACCGTGTGAACTCTCCTTACCTATGCTCACAACAGCTACAGCTTTTGCTGGAAGATAATTCTGCAGGTGTGACTTGGTTTAAAGAGTTAGCAGCTAGCTTGTTAGACTGAAAATATGCTTTATAAATTTATCTTCAGCTTTGTGGAAACATGATGAAAGTGGTGGTTAGCAGCAATTATTATGTGTGTGTTCATACAGTATAAGCTACAAATGTTCTTGGCACCAGAGCTGATGTATCTTAATGGTGACATGCCATGGGTTTTATTGGAACAGAGAAACATTTTCATAAACAGCATGATAGATCACATTTTGGATTCCTAGGAAGGCGTGCCCTTTGTGAAACAGCTTGAACATGAAGGAAAAATAACAAGTCCCATCTTTTTATAGCCACCTTTTATGTCTCTTTCCCCATCTCCATTCAAAACCATCATTTGCTCTTAGTGCTCCATGGAAATGGAACAGCCTCACATATTTGTGTGTGGATCCAAGCATTTGGATGTTTATGATTAAGTGTCTTGCTACATCAGTGTGACCATGTTATTCCCCAAAATTCAAACTGTCTCTGGTGAGACTGGCAATACACCTCTTAGGAAAAAGCTGCCAGAAGAAGTGACCTGAACATCTGTGTCAAGCTTCAAGAAGGAGCACAAGCACTGCATTTAATTCCCAGCAGTAGAAACATTCAACAAAACATCATTTATGTCGTCCTTATGTAAACTATCTGTCTGCAAAAGTGCATACACAGGGGGAAAAAAACCCCATATTTAACAACCTAGGATAGCCTTGCTAATACACGAGTGGTAGACAATATTTCTAAGAGTGGTGTTACAAGAATGTTTCCAGGCCCCCACTTCACACCCCCCCCCCCCCCCCAAAAAAGTGTATTTTTAGGAAAAAATAATTGCTGGGGGAAACAACATTGTGCTGCATGGGGAAGAAAAGAAATCTAGCCTCACAATAGCTAACCAGTGGGTGTTCATCATAAGCATACAGTCCTGGTCAAGTGACAGGAACCTTGGTGGGAAAGTGTTTTTGACCTCATGCACATTTAACTACGGCTTGAGAAAAGGTTATCCTTTGTTTCATTACAGAACTTCAAGCGTGTCATGCTGAGAACTACTGCTGATCCTGAGATTTCAGCAAGTGGGCTTTTAAACATTGCCTGTGCCTTTTTAAGAAACAAACAAAACAAATCCAAAACTCAGAGAAAATTTAAGCAAAAGACAAAACATTTAACTGTCTTCTGTTTTCTTCTTCCCTCTATCCCAAGGGTAGGGGAAATATATAAATAACGGAAGTAATTGGAGCATTTGTAATTAAATTTGGTGTTTGAAAAATGATTTGCTTATCTCACTGAGGCAATTATTGTTACCCTTCATCTTTGCTCAAAGCAATAAACATTGAAAGATAAAGCAAGCATATCCTTCCATAAAGTTACATGACATATGGAAAGTATAATTCACTATCAAATAAGTATCAGCAGTGGGAAGAAGGAATTATAGTTGAGGCAGGAACAACTTAATGAAGCTTGACTGTTCTTAACACATCAATGGTGCTTATGCGTGGATGGCCATGTGCAGCATGAACACTGATAGCTGCAGTGTCATTAAAGGCCAGGTTACCTCAAAAAAATCCCATTGATTTGTCCATAAATTCAATTCCATATCCATTATTACATACATCGGTTCCAGCCGGGCGGTGCCCGGTGGACTGCCGAGGCCAGGATAGTCTCAGGGTAGGCTCAGGTACTTGGTCCGATCTCCCAAGTCATTCCCAGCTTCAGGCAGTCAACCAGGCTCAAGGGATTTTCAGCCCTTTAGTGATTATCAGCTCTGTGTGATTATCAGCTCTTTTGGCTTGCTTGGGCCGAGGCAGCAGACGCATGGAGAGAGAGGAGAAGCGCTGTATAAGGTTCCGCAGGATTCTTTATTAGGATCTCCCACTAAGGGTCTCAGTGACAGCTCTTTCTGCCGAGCCAGGCAGAATTAGGAGTTTTTATACCCTACAGAGGTTTTGGAAACTGTCCAATAGAAAGGGTCAGGGAAAAGTGACCTACAGGCTTACAGGGAGATAAGCAGGGTCCGAAAGGCAGAAGAGAGGGCCTTCTAAGGTCATCGTGACTTGGCATTTCCTAGCTCAGGCTTCTGACCTCCAAGGAGGCCTTGCAGGCCCTGTGCCTGCTACAAAGATCCATTTGCCTTGTTTCTCCCTTGCTTCAGCTTTAAAGTGCTCCCCTTGTTCTTTTTTCCAGACTCCCTTTCGGTCTCCAGCAATGATGCCAGTCCTCCCGCTTCCGTAACGTCACTTCAGCCCCACATGATCGGTGCTCAAAGCTCCCCGGGCCCCAAGCGCCCTGGCAACACCTTGAGGAAATGGCTCACCAGTCCTGTGAGGCGCCTGAGCAGTGGCAAAGCAGATGGGCACGTCAAAAAACTGGCCCACAAGCATAAGAAGAGCAGAGAGGTGCGTAAGAGTGCCGATGCAGGCTCTCAGAAGGACTCCGACGACAGTGCAGCAACCCCACAAGATGAAACTGTTGAAGAGGTAAGTGCTCAGTGCAGCTTCCCAAGACTTGTGCATATGTTTTTCAAGGAACTAAATGTTGTCAGGTGAAGGTTGTCTCCTCACCTGACTGTCCAGCAGTCAGGAGCAGAGTGTTAGGTGCCCTATGCTCATCCTTGATCCCTGTACTCTGCACCAGTCCTGCGCCAGGGAGTTTGTGCCCTCTGAGAGTGTTAGTGAAGCTCTGTGAAGCGCCTATAATTTAAAAAGAGAAACTGGAGAATAAAAAGTTGTCCTTTGGCTTTACTCTCTTATGCTAATTAGGAAATTGGCTTAATGAGTAAAGGTGTTTCAAGGTCTGGGAATAATCAGGTAATTTTGTATTTCCTTTGCTTTTCTTGTTGATGGATCAGGGAAAGTGTAGGGAGAGCTGCTTAAGTGCTTAAAGCTCTAATTGCACCTTGCATAAGAGTCAGAGCACAGAAAAATTATTGGCTCTATGATCCAGGCCAGTTACCACTAGTCAAATAATACGCATGGCAGTTTTCATCGGAGAGAAGGAAATTGTGAAATGTTCCAAATTTTACCACCAAGGATGTCTACTGAGGGCTTCCCTTCTTCCCACAAACATCTCCCTCTCCTTCAAAGTCTGGGACTCTTGTATGAACAAAGCTGGCCTCCAGTTAGGTGCAGAGAAGAGCCAAATTCTCTGTTACAAACCTACAGTTCAGGCTGAAATGAATGTGTTGTTACTGCTTCCAAGGGCACAGCTGGGTGCATGTTATTCCCTTTTATTAGATTGACTCTGACTATTGGTTTTGGTACTTAACCATCCAGAAAAGCAGTCTCAGTTGCCCAATTTTTTATTTATTGCTGCTTTTTTTTTTCTTCTTCCCAACGTATTTTTCTACATGCTTGGAACACTAGTGAAGATGCACAGTAAGTGTAGGGAGAGGGAAGGTGGAAGACTTGGCAGCATGATGAATTGAGAGATGTTGGTTAGGAATGAATACTGGCCTCTGACCTTGAATGTCAGGCTGTAGAAAGAGACCCTCTGTGCTGAAGTTGTAACACCATTTTGGCAGTGTCTGTTATTGTGCAGTTCTGTGAGTGAAGGGAAAAATTCAAGGCCAGTGCCTTAAAGTCAGGGGAAAAAAGTAACCATCTATGCCGTCTTCCTGTAAAGGTAGATAAATTATTCTGTGAGATCATACATTAAACTTCGGGTACTTGAAATCAGAGTTCCTTGTGAGGGACAGAAAGGATAATTGATTAAATACTTCATGTTGTAATAGGGGTTTTTTATGTCCTCCAAAAGTCTTGCTGTGATACAGAGCAAGATACATATTTCAGAGAGATACAGATTTCTCTTTGCAGAACTGAATTTGGAAACCAAGCATGGCTTTCATAACACTTTCCTGTAGTAAATTTCAGCTGAATGTCTTTTTCTTAGTATTTGAATTCTTTTGCTTTTACCAGACATTGAAAACTGTCTTTGGCATCTGCATTTTCCCCCTCTGTTAAGGATTGTTTGTAGGAGCATCTTGACTTGTTGGGAGAGGGCTGAAACTACAGGATAGTCTTAAAACGAGCATGTGATAACAAGTTTCATGCTGGTGAGATAACAGAGCTTGAACATCTTGATGTTACTTACAGAGAGGTCGGAACGAGGGGCTGAGCAGTGGCACTCTCTCCAAGTCATCCTCTTCAGGCATGCAGAGCTGCGGAGAGGAGGAGGGCGAAGAGGGAGCAGATGCTGTGCCGCTCCCTCCTCCCATGGCAATTCAGCAACACAGTCTTCTCCAGCCCGACTCGCAGGATGACAAGGTAGGAGCAGGACTACCTGGGGGAGGCTTCACGTGATGAGATAACCTCTGTTTGCACAGATTTTTTCTTCTTCTTCCAAAGGTCTCAAAACTGTACATAATACAGCTTCATGATAGACAGAAGTAATCGCTTTTGCCCTCTAGACAATTTTAAAAGGGTGTTCTATGATGAGAGCGTGAATTAAATCCTTCTCTATTTTAAAAGCACAAGTGTAGAAATTTTTCTGCTGGAACTTTAGTTGTGGAAATAAGCTGCTTTGTGTGCTCACAGGATGATTTACATCACTTTGAGTGATGCCATATTTAGTGATTAGAGTCTAATTGTTTTATAACCATACCTTTTGGGTTTTTTTGGTTTTTGTTGGGTTTTTTTTTGGGAGGGGGGTTGCAGGGGGAGGGAAGGGAGGCATGCCTGAAAGAAAGGAATTATCAAAGAAGGGTATTAATTGTCATGGTTTAACCCCAGCCAGCATCTAAGACCCACACAGTCACTGTTCCACTGTTCCTGGGATAATCAGAAGGGAAAGAGTGAAAAAACTCTTGGGTTGAAAAAAAGATAGTTTAATAGGTAAAACAAAAGCCATGTACACAAGCAAGGCAGAACAAGGAGTTTGTTCACCAGTTCCCACAGACAGGCAGGTGTTCAGCCAGCCCCAGGAGAGCAGGGCTTCATCACATGTAGGGGACTTGGGAAGATAAACGCCATTGTTCCAAATCTCCCCCCCCTTCCTTTTTCTTCCTCCCAGCTTTATATGCTGAGGATGATGCCATATGGTCTGAATATCCCTGTGGTCACTTGGGGTCAGCTGTCCTGACTGTGTCCCCTCCCAGCTCTTTGTGCCCCCCCATTCTCATTGCTGGTGGGGTGAGAAACAAAAAAGGCCTTGGTGCTGTGTGAGCTCTGCTCAGCAATAGCTAGAACAACCCTGAGATATCAACACTGCTTCCAGCACAAATCCAAAACATGGCCCCATACCAGCTACTGTGAAGAAATTTAACTCTGTCCCAGCCAAAACCAGCACATCATCCATCTGTTTTTCACAAACAAAGGCACATTAAAATTGACAGTAAAAATTTCACACCGGTAATAAAACTGGATGTAGGTAGTAACTGCATGATGCGAATCTTATTTGTGTATGATCTGTTTTTTTCTTTAATTTTATGATGATCAGACATTAAGAGAGTTTATTTCAATTTTGAACCTGGATCAGACATTTAAGGGACAAGTATCAAGTCTGGAAATAGAGGGGTTTTAAAATGGAAATAATCTGGACTTGTGCAGCAAATATGCACATTCTTTTCTTGCCATTTTGCTCCTTAAAAGTTTTAATTTTGTAAAATTGTAATCTACAGCACCGAATATTGTTAGTGAATTTTGTGATTGCTTGCTGTCTGTTCTCAGTGGTGCAGATGTTATTCATAGCTTTTGTGGATCTTTTTTTTTTTTTTTTTTTTTTTTTTAATTTTTTTTTTATTTTAAAAACACTACCTTTCAGTGGGAATCTCACTCCTTCCTGAAGCTGTTGTTTGTAGGGTCAAAATGGCTGGTTCTTATAATCTGTGTGCATTCAATTCCTACGTGCCTTCTGAATTGACAAAGTGTAATATATGAGTTGAAGAGTTAATATATTGGGAAATATTGCTGAAACAAAACAAGCAAAAATAGACCAGCCTTCAGAGCTGAGAGAATGTTTTCTTGCTAGAACAATCTCAGTTTTAGATTTAGAAATAAGATGAAAATAATGCCAGTGAAAATATGTTAAGCTCTTGCTGATGAGCTGCCATATTTGCATGTTTCTTCACTGACAGAAAACAACTGATTACAAATATTCTAAAAAGTTCTCCACAGAAAAATTAATTTCATTATAGACTTCTTTACATAGTGGAACACTTACATACAGGGATATGCTTGTAAGCTAGTGTCTGCTTACCTCTGTATTTCTGGTGCAAAGTCAGACCTGTACCACAGTAGAGAAAGACTATTTAAGTAGCTTTCCATCTCCAGTAAATTATATTTTCACTGCTGTTGTGATTTAAACCCAGCCAGCCACCAAGTACCACCCAGCTGCTTGCTTACTGTCCTGCCAGTGGGATCAGGGAGAGAAAACGTGTGGATTGAGATTAAGCAAAAGCCATGCACACAAGCAAAGCTAAACAAGGAATTAATTCACTGCTTCCCATGGACAGGCAGGTGTTCAGCTATCTCCAGGAGAGCAGGGCCCCATCAGGTATAATGGTGACTTGGGAAGACAAATGCCATCACTCCAAATGTCCCCCCCTTCCTCCTCCTTCCTTCCACTTTATGCTGAGCATGATGTCACATAGTCTGGAATGTCCCTTTGCTCAGTTGGGGTCACCTGTCCTGGTGAGACCCCTTGGTGTCTCCTCCCAAGCACCCCCAGCTTCCTCACCAACAGGGCAGTACAAAAAAGCAAGAAAGGCCTTGGCTCTGTGTGAGCCCTGCTCAGCAACAACAAAAACATCTCCATGTTATCAGCACTTTTTTTAGCATAAATTCAAAATGCTGCCCCATACCAGCCACTGTGAAGAAAATTAAGTCTACCCCAGCCAAAACCAGCACAACTTCTTAAAAGGTTAACATGCACCCACATCAGTAAATGCATGGTGGGACAGTCTTTAAAGTAGGTGAAACTACATTTAGAGGAGACTTCAGAGAAGTTAATACTTGGTAAAGTTAATATTATACCATAATTTTTCAAAGCGTGTAAGCAGTGATTCTTCTGCAATGTGTTGTTATTACGCAATATTTATCCTTCATGGTGGGAGGCAAAAGGTCCCCTCATGGGGCATCCTGGGAGGTTGTGTGTGCCTCCCTGCAGTCCACACACCACCAGCTTCTATCACCTAAAGTAAATGCTCTATTGGAACACAGAAGTGAGAAGCCAGAGCAAAACTTTACCCAGGAGAAGGTATTTGGCTCTCTTGATAGAGTTACTGATCAATAAAAGGCTTGCAAACAAGTTCCCAGTTGTCTGCCTTCTGGGTGGAGTCCTTCTTCACATTCCTGCCATGCTGGGTGGTTTCTTGGGTTGCTCAGCTATTCCGGATCTCAAGGAATGTCTCCTCCTTTCTGTGACCTCAGAAACTTGGCAATCATCTCTGCCTCCCTGCAAGCATTTCTTCCTCTCCAGAGCTCCTGCTCATTGCTGGAAACTCCCTGTTTGTTGGGTTTCTCCTTCCCTTCCCAGCCTGCTGTGGGCCCTTAGCAGCATCTCATATGTACTTGAGCTCAGTTGCTCCCTCCAGCTTTTCCTTCTTTTCTGTGCAAGGGATGTGTTCTGTTCCCAGAGTGCATCATCAGGAAAGTCAGCAAGAAGTTTTATCTATGCAGCTCCTTCTTTTTCAGATTATATGTGCTATAACCACAGGCACTGGAAATCACAGTTCTGAAGTTTTACCTCACATCTCACATACCACAACAGAGCAATAAAAGAGACCATAACCAGAACCTGATTTCAACACTGACAGTGTTTTTTAAGACTAAGCTGAACTCTGCATCCAAAGTGGAAACACACATGCAGGCACAAGCTGTGGAAAACCTGGTCAACAGTCAGATGTCAGGAGCATGTAAATTGCCTAAATGACAGGCCAGCTTGTGGGATTGCTCAGTTCTTAGTGTGCATGCAAACGTCCTGTGTTAGGCCATGCTGATTTGTCTAATAGCACTAAATAACACAACCATTTTCTCCCCTAAGAGCTCATCTGCACACTATATGCATTCTTTCATTCAGCAGAATCATTGCGCACGTCATGGATTTGCATTTGGTGGCAGTTTAAAAGTTGTTTGCATTTAATTTTTGGATAAGCACTATTAAAAGTTTCAAGATCAGCTGTGTTAATATGAAACTAATTATTTTTGCTTTTTGTTTTCTCTTTTTGTAAATTCTGATGCAGCGTTATGTTGACTTGTGTTCTGTCTCTGCTTTGGCTCAGTTCCCGTATCTTTCCGTTTAAAGTTATCTGTATTTCCTTTGCTTACCCAGCCCCTGCTTTCCTTTCCAAATAAGGCAAATACAAGGCAAACTACCTAAAATCTGTGTATTCTTTCTTTCGCTTGGTTTGAGCAGAACCTCCTGTGTTGAGTCATTATTTGTGCCGCTTCTTTGTCTGGTTTGTTGGAAACGTTTGCAGGACAGCTTGCCCTGTGCTGCATGATGCTCACTGTGCTGTTCGTAATATGAAGTACAGTTCGTATTACACCCTGTTTCCACTTTCCAGTTACTAAATGATAAATGTAATGTGCAAACAACTCTGTTTGCAAATTACTGAGGCTGAATTTAATGGCCTTCTCCCAGAATCCTTTACTGTGAACACCTTTTACCTTCAGTTGTATCTATAAACTGGCATTTTATAGCTTATGAGGCCAGAGATCTTCTGTGCTCTACACATACCATTGGGAAAAATGGATGGCACAAGGAATGGTGAGCTCAATTTCCCGTCTGAATCTGGGCAATATACTCCAGCTCTTTTAGAAAAGTAAATGCCCCTGAGTTACTGGTATATATTTTCTTAACATAATAATGCTTCCTCCTTTATTTCAAGTCTTCTTGATTTCTCTTAGTGTTCTTCAGCTGTTGCTTTGTTTAAGCAGCAACAAAATAGGTTAACAAACTGTTGTCCATTGGGTCAGCTCAGGCAATTTTCATAGCTATTTGCCAGGAATTTTCAGCAATTATATTTCCTCGACTTCTATTGCATGTAGGAACAGGAATTTTTATCCCAGCATTTAACTTCTATGGGGTTTACTTGAAACTTCCAACTCCAGCTGCTCAGGTTGGAAGGGATGATCTTAGTGTTATATGACACTGACAGTACATGTCAGGTACCTTTGTCTGACAGAGAAGTGAAGGAAGTCTCTTGATCATTAAGCAAGAACTGGGCTAACTCTGGGGTTCTCCTTCCTTTGTGTCCTTGCACAGACATCATCTCGATTGTTGGTGCGGCCAACAAGCTCTGAGACGCCCAGTGCTGCAGAACTCGTCAGTGCCATTGAAGAGCTCGTCAAAAGTAAAATGGTGAGACTGACCAGCAGATGCACCTGTCTAAAGAGCTTGTGTCTTCAAGTCCCAGCTCACTATCCAAAGAAAACCTGCATGTTTTACACTGACTTGTAAAATTTGCTGTCTGTTTCAGAAGTCACTTTGTAGATTGATGTATGGGGTCATTTTGTACACACTCTTTTGTAAAAAAGCATTTGCTGAATAGGTAAATGGCAGTGTAGAGGAGAAAAAAAAGCAATAAATAGGAGGAAGAGAGGAGATGGTGGAAAATTTACTGAGTATGTCCTGATAGTCAAAAGAAAATGTCCTATTAATAAAATGAGTGCAAAGACCCAGGGTCTTAGACTAAAATTTTAAAACATGTTATTGACATGTTTTAAAGTTTTCGTGTTTCTGAAGGTTCTCATTATATGCATAATTCCAGGAAGGCCTTTATATTCAAAATCCAGCTTGACCATTTTGGGAAAAACTTCTCTGGCTGACCCTCTTTGAGATTGGACTATATAGTCTCAGGAGGTCCCTCAGCAATTCTGGATTTCCTCAAAACCTTTAAACACAGCTTTTGCAGCTTAGCCCCTCTTGGGCTCAGTAGGAAGTGCCTTTGTGAAAAATGCAAAGAATTGCAGCATTGCAGCCCTGTGTTATCAGAGGTTGATATTTTCCAGGTTCATTCTAAATTGAAGCAGCTTTGACTTTCAGAACTAGAAATTCTCTTTTCTGCTCTCTCATTCAGAGTAAATTACATTATTGCATAAAATAATTACTGTACTCTCTTGGGTATTAACTTTGCTTTTTACTTCTCTTACACCAGAAGGGTGAATACAAAGTAATCTGTGAGAAAATTCAACAGTCTTTTGTAAATGGAAAGTTTGGTAGTCCATGTGTATTTCAGGCTGCCTAGCAGTGGATATAACTTAATGATCCATGCATAAAGTCCTTGTGGGAGATGTTCTCATTTCACAGTTTTAGCCAAGGTTCAGCTTCCCGTGGGTTTTGGGCTAGTCATATCATTATTGGTTTTTACTTTTTGTGAGGAAAGAAAATAGATTATAGCTATTCACCCACCCTGGTGAAGTAAATGTGTCTTGCAATAAGGCTGTATCACATGCAAGGAAAATGTGAAACATAGATGTAGCTTGATCCAAGATGATGGGCTTGAATTAGAGAAATCCAACAAATACTTCATAGAAGATATTAATATTATTTCCTCCTATTGCTTTTTCATCTTTTATACAATCAGAAGCCTGTGGAGCCCATGCAAGGGAGATAGTGTATCTAGAAGAGGATACAAGGACTTTTTTTCTAGGATATGAACAAGCTCATAAACAACATTGGCAGTGTAGAAGTCATTATTTTCTTCACTGAGATGCTACTTTGGCTTTTTATTAAGATCACCAAAACATCTGACAGAGAACGCCACTTCTCTTTAATTAAAAATGTAACATCGTAAAAATCTCCTTTAAAGATGTCCCATTTATTGTTGAAAGTAACTTGTATATGCCAGAAGTCAAATATGACAAATACCATTTAATCCCTGGCCGTGATGACACATTTGTGCCACTCCCACCATAGAAGTACTTGCGTCCTGAGCAGGAGAGTCCACCTTTTAGCCATTGCTGTTCAAACCAGTTCAGCTCCTTTATTATCCTGTGAAGGGAAGACTGTCATCTCAGATGTGCTTCTCAAATGTGTCTCAGAGGCTCAGTTGTCATGGAAAGCCATGTTGTTGCCTGGTTTCCTGGAGGCTTGTGACTTGCTTTGCCAAGATACATAAAAGTAATTGATCTCCCATAGATTGCTATACAGCAGCTTGTAATGTTTCTGTGAATGTGAATAAAGGAGAAACAAACCATTGTTGCTGACTGTCTTGAATACCTTCTCAGGCTCTGGAGGACCGTCCAAGTTCCTTGTTGGTAGATCAAGGTGACAGCAGCAGTCCGTCCTTCAACCCTTCAGATAATTCCCTTCTATCCTCCTCGTCACCCATAGATGAGATGGAGGAAAGGAAATCCAGCTCCTTAAAAAGACGACAGTAAGACCAGTTTTTTGCAATTTTCCTTTTTTTTTTTTTTCTTACAAGCTTATTTTGAACTGGCAGCAGAAGCTGTTAGTGTCAAAATGGGAGGATTTGTATTAGATGTCAAGCATGTAGTCACATTTCTCTGTGACATTCAGTCTGTGATTTTTAATTCTAGTCATACCTGTGTTTGACTTGTGCTGCATGTCATTGTCATTTATTTGGGAATATGCTAATCTTTAAATGTCCAAAGGTCTATTAGGCTTGAAAAAAAAGGTCATTGCCCTCATTCTAATCCAATTCAGGCTTAATTTCTCTATATAGTAGTAAACTGTTACCATGGCAGAATAAAAACATGCCTGGTTTCAAATTTTTTAAACTTACGTGTGGAAATAACTGTCCGTATAGCTAAGAGACCATAGACATAATAGCTATTTTATATAATATATAATATTTTATATTTTAACTATTGTTTAAAATAATAGCATTTTATTTTAAACAATAGTTAAATGTTTAATTTTAATGTCATGTTTAAGAAAACGTCAGACTTTAGATAAACAGAAGCAAGCCTTGTCCAGTCTCAAAGTTGAAGCAGTATCTTGCTAAGAACCAATGTACATTAATTCTTCCATTTCAGTTCTGTATATCAAACATACGTGACTGCAAATGTCAAAAAAGTTGTATGCCATTAATCCTCTTGAAAAATCTGTTTAATTTTTTAATATTTGTTCACCTTTTTCCTTCCACTGTAGCTATGTCTTACAGGAATTAGTGGAGACAGAGCGAGATTATGTGCGAGACCTGGGCTATGTAGTTGAGGTATGATGTTTTTCATTCTCTTGATTTCTTCTTTTTTTTTTTTTTTTTAATGTGGTACTAACCACCTTTGTGGCTTGAACCTCACTATGTTTTTCAAAATGATACGCAGGAAGAAACTAAAAATGTGAAAGTTTGCATTCTGAGTTTTTCCTTCTGTAAGCTTTTAATGTATAAAAATGCTACATCACATTTTACTCCTTTTTCCTGTTATTGTGTTCACCTTGTTCTTTTGACGAGTGTAGTTCTTTGTCTTTTTTTTTTTAATCCCTACATCTCGCCTAATGTTATCCTAGTTGATAGTGGGTTTATTTAGCACATCTAAATTTAAAAAAAAAAAAAATTGTACCTCAGCATACAGAGCAGCTATCCAAGATTTGCAAGTCCTCCTTCCTCTCCTACCACTAGGCTTCCCTTAGACTTCCTAGCTTCCCCAGCTGTAAAATGAGATAACATCACATATCTCCCCTCAGTCTTCAGCTACCAGCAAATGGCATTTGGAAGAGTAGAAAGAATGAGCATGACAGTGAATTTTAGCCTAATATAGTTTAATTCTTAAACTCTGTTTTGGAGGCAGGGAGGGAAAGAAAGATCAGCATTGTGATAGTGTTTTTACAGTGTTTCAAGGATGCATTAGGAGTCTGAATAGATGTGTTTTTTTAAATCATAACATAATTTCTGGTGAAGATGTTGGGCATCAAAACATACACTTGGCAAACCAAAACCAAGCCTGGCTATTTAAGAATAGAACCACTGAGGGGAAAAAAAGAAGGAATAGAGTTACATTAATATTACAAAATTTAAAAGCATTCCAAATTTAACTATATGGTAGAACTGCTCAGTGAGACAGCTGTGTAGATACCAAAACTAAGATGGGACTGTGGGAGAATGTAAGAGGAACTTTATTGCAGCGAGAATGCTTGCTAACAGAATTGATTTTTAATTTTTTTGTGTTTGCAAGCAGTAGTCCACGGAGTGCAGTCCCATGGGCAGTTTCCTCCTCAGTGCACTTTGGTGTGGGGTTAGTGTGAGTGAAATAAGAGACACAGAGCAAAGCAGCACAGAAGCCACTTCCGTGGCTCTGACATTTCAGGGAGTTAGGAGAAAGGCTGTGGAAGTTTCCTTCTTGCTCCGAGCCCGTTCACACAGGCTAAGTTAGAGTGAATTAATTTTTCTAGCACTGTTGTGTAGACAGCATCACCTCAATTTGTGATACTTTGTGTCTGTGCTTTGTGTTGTGCTGTGTTATAGAACAGTTTTCTGGTTTGGCTTTGTGTCCCAAGCAGTTGTTGCCATTGGACATCTTCTGGGAAAAGGGGGACTAGAAGACAACTCTCTTTTTTTAAAGTAAGAATGTTCACAGTGAATTCACTTGGACTGTTGCAGGGTTATATGGCACTTATGAAGGAAGATGGTGTACCTGATGATATGAAAGGCAAAGACAAGATTGTATTTGGAAACATTCACCAGATTTATGACTGGCACAGAGAGTACGTATTGTACCTAAAAAATATTAGATTGGCTTTAGGAATTATTTCCTCAGATATTCAGATACAAGGCAAATGCAGTTGGTTTTGTGCTGTGAGTTGTAGAAAATGTAACTTCAGCTTACAAATGTTAGTGTGAAGATTTACTTTAAAGAGGGATGCCTGTGTATATATATAATTATATATATATAGCAAGTACTTCAACTGAGGCTCTCTAATATTGACAGAACTTTGTGCATTGCTTTCTCTCTAACAATACAGCCTTAAGAATTTGTTAGGTGTGGTTAGAAAGGCAGTATTAGCATCTCAAGCATTCTGATTAGGAAGGCGAAAGCTTTCAATCAATATAAATGAAATTTAATAATTTTATTAGTGAATGCCAGGTGGCTTTTTTCATCTTGGCATGGATTCAGCATGTCCTTTTAAAAAGCTATGTTGAAATGTTATGCTGTTACCATTGTCAGTTTGGACATACATTAATATCTAATGCTGCTGATAGGGGACACAAAAGTGTCTTGCCTTGCAGTAGGACCACTTTGCCTTGCAATTACCTGTTTCTATAATGTGTGATGTCAGAAAAAAATTGTTTATTCTGTTTATGTTCAGCTTCTTTTTAGGAGAGTTGGAGAAGTGCCTTGAAGATCCAGAAAAGCTGGGATCCTTGTTTGTTAAACATGTAAGTACAAATGTCTTTTTTTGCAAACTCTATTGCTGCTACTGGCCAACATGAGTGACTGTTAAGTACAGCACAATTAAGAAAGTGCTGTACAATGTTCTTCACCTGTAAGAGGTGGAGAGATAACTTTTAAGAGCTTATAAATAGAAGAAGTAAATGTGCTAGTCTTTGTCCCCAGTACCTTCCTGTACCTCCCTGAGAGGGAACATGAATGTGGACCCCATTTCTCTATTCTCCACCAAAGTTACACTTTGGTGCAAGGGAATCATCATTTCATATGACACCTGCCTTCTAATCCCAGGTATCCGTGCAATAGCATGGAATATAAGAAATAAAAATAGGAAAGAGGCTCATTCTTGTTCCAGTTTGAGTATGTTCTAGTTCTGTATCCTTTCCCCTTCTGAGAATTTGTCGATGGCAAAGTGGGAAACCTGTAGGAAGTAGCTCTCCCTGTTTCTGATTGCTGTTTTACTTTCTCCTGGTATTATTTGTAATTGAGTTGTCTTTAAAAGGCACCTTTACCACTCCAGATGGAAAGGCAAGCTGTGATGCTATTACAGCATCCTCTAGCAAAACCCTATCAGATAGAACACAATGATTCAGTTCCTGTTCTTAATCTGTGTCCTGTGTCCTTTCCAATCTCCATCTTATTTTTTCATTTCTTTCTTACCATTTATCTCCTCTGGTCAGTACTCGTAAGTCTCTGGGAAGCAAAGCCTCTAACCCCAGACAAATCCTAGCAAAGTGATAGGAAAGATTTTGGAGTAGGTATGTCTGTATTTCTTAAACAGCGATGTCAGTAATCAAGAATAAATCTTAAAGGCAGAAGTTATTTCCTCTCTCTTTTTCTGTTGCTTTGATGTTAAAAGCACATGCACAAGATAAAGGATCAGAGTTAAAAAATGCCAGTGCCTCCATTTCCAGGCTTCATCACCTACATCCCTATCCAGACTCCAGCAGGACGGCCAATAATAAATAAAAGACATGAAAGTTTTCTCCTAACTGTTCTGTACATGTAAACAGGAGGAGGTAATTATTCTAATACATTTCAGTAATAGTCACGTTATTCAAATAGAATAAAAAATACTACGTTTCAAAGGCTCCATTACAGAATGATGGAATGGGTAAGGTTGGAAGGGATCACTGTGGGGTCATCTTGTCAAACCTTCCATGGCTCTTGGTGAAAGAAAAATAGAACTATTTTCATGCTTAACTTTATTGTGGGACCTGCTGAGTTATCATCTCTGAACACCTGTCATTCAGGAGGATTTATAGCTGTGGGAATTTTTTTCACTTGTGTTGCCTTTTTAAAATTATAACAATGTTCCCAAATAAATGTGTTTTCAGGTATGTATTTTCTGCATATGTAACTGCTTCTTTACCTTTAAGGGGTCTTTTTAAGTGCATACATATGAACTGCCATACTTCTTAAAATAATACTCCATTTTAATGTGGCACGTGTTTTTCTTGATAACGATGTATCATTTTGTGTCTTTCTTCCTCTAGGAGAGAAGGTTGCACATGTACATAGTTTACTGCCAAAACAAACCAAAGTCTGAACACATTGTCTCAGAATACATTGATACGTTTTTTGAGGTAAGTTCATGAGAGGCGATACGTGAGGTGAAGGATTATTAAATCTGTTGGTCAAACCAGAAAAAAAACCAAAAAATGCAGCAGATATTGTTGCTAATGTTTTAAATTGCAATTTCTTGTCATTTCTGTTCTGATTTCTCAAATCTGATACAGACTCCTGGAGATGAAAACTAAAGGTTAGGTATAAGATAATTAATTAATCCGTAGGGTCTTATCCTTAGTAGCCTTAGCCCAGGCAGTTACCAGTGCATTTTATATAGCAATAAATAGCAATTCTGGATAAGCAGAGATCACTGTTGAAAAGGGGCTGTATACAGCCTGTGACTGAAAAATTGCCGTTCACTCTGAAGCCTTGTCAAGAGAGTGGTGAAAGATGCTTGCAGAAGGGAATACCTTGGGAGCAATAGTGATTAGGTGAAGGACTCCAGCTTTTGCTAACTGAAATTAGATTATTTTCTAACTTTTGCCAATTTCTGATGTGATAACAATTAATACTGATATATCCTTGTTTTTTAATATATATATTTATCTCCACATACTGATACATATGCTGTGTTTCTAACTCAACAAAACAAAGGTCTTTCTAACTGAACAAAATGTTTGTTTTACAACTTTCAGGATCTAAAGCAACGCCTGGGCCACAGACTTCAGCTTACAGACTTGCTAATAAAACCTGTGCAGAGAATTATGAAATACCAGCTGTTACTAAAGGTAAAGTGATGTTGAGATGAGTGTGTTAATAGATATGTTATGATGTGTTAACAGATAGGTTTTCTTTTTTAAGGAAATTTTTAATGCTGATGTTTTCCCACCCCTTTCCCTAACAGAACCCAGATTTGTAAGCAATGTCATGTGATTAATTTCTGAGCACATTCAGGTAGTTATAAAAATTGCAGTAGATGGCTTGGGCAGAAATTTGTTTTTTCTTTTAACAGTTAAAGACCAAATGTTTAGGCCATGGAAATGTTTAAAGTTTGTTCCAGTGTCATAGGAATGGGAGAAGGAATGCTCAACTGTTTTCAGATGTAAACATGATACAAGTTGTTGGGACTCATCACAGGTTTTCCAGCTACACCTGCAATCATTTTAGTATGACATAAGTGTTTACTGAAGAGCAACCCTGTGTAGCACAGAGGTCATTGCCTTAGCATATGTTTTTTGTATGAGTTAAATCCAAATGGTTATCTTCTGCAGTCCGTCATATTTTGACAGAGAATTTCAAATTCAGATTTTCTAAGATTTCTTGTTGATGATTAATGAGAAAAGAAATATTACTTGATTTTTTTTTCTTTTTCAGGACTTCCTCAAGTATTCTAAAAAAGCTAATCTTGACACAACAGAACTAGAGGTACTTGAGACATTTTCTCTTAGTGATAGGAATTGTTTTAACTCAGAACTTCTTTTGTTCTGGCAGAGTCACTTTCATTTTCTAGTCTTCCTGAGAAAGTGATTATAAGTGTTTACTTTTTGCATTTCTGTTCTAAAGCAACCATGTTAAATGAAACAAAATTTTATGCTGCTAACTCATTTGGAAAATAAAGCTTTGACTTTTTATTTGTCTTGAACAGAAAGCTGTAGAGGTCATGTGTATAGTACCAAAACGGTGTAATGACATGATGAATGTTGGCCGCCTGCAAGGATTTGATGTAAGTTGGCTGGAGTTTTGCTTAGAGATTTTGTCAGGTTCTCTAGAAATTAATCATTAATATTGTGGGGAGAAATGTGTACAGTGCTTCTTCACTGTATGGTTAGCTGGTGCAAAAAGCAGTAAATGAAAAATCAAGTCTTAGCCCTGCCAAGGACTTTTTCCTGGGAACCATTACCTGTTGTATCAGTCACACTAGGTAAAGCCCTTCTGCAAAATCAAGAAAGGGCTGTCTTACTACAGTTCCCTTCTTGGCTAAAGGGTTGCAACACAGTGGAATAATCAGTTATCAGCAGGTGAGCAGACCTGACTTCAGTAGTGTAGACAAAGGAGGAGACACTAAGGTCCATCATGTACTTGAGGCAACTGTAGCTCTCCTTGTTTTGTTAACTCTAGAAGAGAGAAATTGGCTCCTGAAGCAGCATGCATCAGTCAGGCCACAGTCACATGTTCTACTTGCAAAATTTTTTGTATCCTGTGATGCAGACATGAACTCAAAATCTGCCCCTACTCAGCACCCTGGAAGATTGTATGAGTAGTTGTTGGAGTTATTCAGAATAGAGAAATGAAAGCCTTAGTGTTCCAAACCTCAAAATGAAGGATGAATTGAGAAGGGTGGAGTGGATCTTTGGGGTTTTTGTTGGTTTGGGGGTTTGTTGGTTGGTTGGGTTTGGTTTGGTTTGGGTGGGGTTTTTTGTGTGTGTGTGGTTCTTTTTTCTTTTTTGATGTTTGAGTTTTTTTGAGAAAGAACACAAGAATATCTTGTGTATAGGAGGAGAAGTGAATATATAGTGGTCAGTAACAGTTGGAAGGTGGGAAATACGCAAAGCTATTTGTCATGAACATGTGCTCAAAAAGGCTGATTGAGGAAAGAAGCAAAGAACTTCACTAAATGTGTTTTTTCTTGCCTGTCTGTTTAGGGTAAAATTGTAGCCCAGGGTAAGCTCCTGCTGCAGGACACATTCTTGGTTACAGACCAGGATGCAGGACTTCTGCCACGCTGCAAGGAAAGACGGGTCTTCCTGTTTGAGCAGATTGTCATTTTCAGTGAGCTGCTAGATAAAAAGAAAGGTTTCTCCATGCCCGGATTCTTGTTTAAAAACAGTATCAAGGTAACTGTTGTGTGTGAGTCTTTTGTGTCCCCTGCACAAACTCTGCTAAGGTAACAGTTTCTCATTCTGTGGGCAGTCACAAGTGACAGCTAGGTGTGTAGCCATAGAGCACAATGAGGTGTCAGTCATTTCCTGAAATTACTTCCTACCAAATTTGTTCTCACTTCAGTGTTAAGTGGAGATATTTGGATCCCAGTACTCTGATGCCTTCTGCATGAAGCATATCAAAGCAGGACTTCTGAACAAAGTACTGAACAGATATTCACAGAGTTTAGTTTTCAGCTCTGTGCTGTATGTACACCACATTGCAAAGTCATTGCAAGTAGAGATAATAACTCTTTTTGTATCCTTTCTGATACCCAAATATATAGATAATATTTGTAAGTAGTGTGACCTTCTTAGATATTCCTCAAACAAAATAAGTGTTTCCCCACTTCAAGATTTTCCTGAAAAAACCTGATGATACTAGAACTCAGCAGCCCTCATGAAGTGTTTTGGGTGGACCCTGCTTCCCCTAATTCACCTTGCTGCTCTGCCTGCGACCTGAACCTGTTTATAGCCCTGGCTGAAGAGCTATTATATATATATATATATATATATATATATACAGGTACAAGGCATTGCTGTATCTGCAGCTGAAGCCTTTACTGGGGGCCAGTGTTAGAGAGGGCTCCATAGCAGGCTCAGCATTTTAACTAATCTGAAAGAAAAGTGAGGGATGGAGAACATTGGACCATGCTGACCTGCTGGAGATTGTTCAGGCACAGTGTGTCAGTTAGCTGTACACTAATTCTTAGTTTACTGGAATTAAATAACTTCATTTCATGGTATTATCTTACTACAGGAATGCGTGGTTATCATTTGAAGATCTGACTCTACACTCATAAGAAAGAGATTTTAAAGATATGTTTCCCATAAAATACATGTTATTTTTTTTTTTGTGAAGGTGAGTTGCCTTTCTCTGGAGGAAAATGTGGACAGCGATCCATGTAAATTTGCACTAACATCAAGAACGGGCGATGTCACGGAGACCTTTATTTTGCATTCTGCCAGTCCGGGAGTCCGCCAGTTATGGATCCATGAAATTAACCAAATTTTGGAAAACCAGCGCAACTTTTTAAATGGTAAATTACTTTCTTTTACTGAAAGTTCGTAATTGGATGACTTTTCTCTCATCTCTTTTTTCTTGGCTTTGAAATGTTTTGCAAGTTGCCTTTCTCCTGAGCTAATACAGAACAGTTGGGTGATATGTGCCGCATTTCTGCTTCAGAACAGATGCTTGCATTTATTATAAGAGTGGTAGTCTGAATTTACATGGTGTTCTCTTGGTGAAATTTTCCAAATGTTTTGTAGGAGTGAATCAAGATAGGTGCCATCCGTTGAGAGCTTGTGTACCCCTTCTAAGCAACTGCAAGCCTTTAAAGGCTAAACCCAAGTGGAATTTTAGCCATCTATACAGAATATGTTTTGCTTCTATTATTTTGTTGGCCATTGTTGTTGCATCTTATTGTGGTAGCAACATTCAGATTCTGCAGGAGAAAAGTAGAAGGTGGTATCAGCCTCTGTGACACTAAAAGGTTCTTGCTCTGTTTTTCTGTCTATCAGTTGTTGTCCCAACCTAGATTTTTTAAACAGTTGTTATGAGTAATAACAAGCAGAGAATGTGGAGTGACACCTGTTTTTTCCCAACTTGGCTGCTGGCTGACAGTGTGATCCTAGGGGAAAACATCATCTTAGTTTCAGATGTTTAATCTTTAATACAGTAGATACAGCAGGTCATGAAGGTTAGATACAGCAAAGTGACTTGAAGTATGTGGCATCTTTCCACTGCTAAGGAAATTTATTTGAACAGCACTCCCCTTTTTGCCAGTAGACATGCCTGTTTTAAACTGTTCCTGTTCCCTTTCCTGCCCCCTTTCCCCTGACTGCCTCCCCCTCGCCCCCGCTGCAGCCTTGACGTCCCCGATCGAGTACCAGAGGAACCACAGCAGTGGTGGAGGCGGCGGCGGGAGCAGCAGCGGTAACAGCGGCGGCCCCAGCAGCTGTAGTGGCATCCCCAGCTCCAGCCGTAGCCGGCCATCCCGGATCCCCCAGCCTGTCAGACACCATTCCCCAGTCCTGGTCTCCTCTGCAGCCTCGGCCCAAGCAGAGGCAGACAAGATGTCAGGTATGTCCATTCACAATCACTCCCTGCCACACTACAACACCTCTTTAGAAACTGGCCTGAGCCAGCCAGACAGGCACCCTCCCAGTGCAGAGCCGGATGGTCCTCAGAGAGAAGCTGAACAGATTCCCAAGATGAAAGTTATTGAAAGTCCCAGGAAGACAGCAGGAAACATTTCTGGCTCAGCTGATGGAGCCCAGAAAGACTCACGTGGAATCTCAGAGGACAGTCGAACAAGAAACAGCATAGGATCACTGACGCTTGGGAAGCCAAGGCCAGGAGCCATATCTCCAATGAACTCTCCTCTGTCCACGACTTTCCCTTCTCCTTTTGGCAAGGAAACCTTTCCACCCAGCAGCCCCCTGCAGAAGGGCTCCTTTTGGAGCTCCATCCCAGCATCCCCTGCCAGCCGCCCTGGCTCCTTCACTTTCCCTGGGGACAGTGACTCCCTCCAGCGGCAGGTCCACCGCCACTCTTCACACAGCAAGGACACAGACCGCATGAGCACATGCTCCTCGACCAGCGAGCAGTCAGTTCACTCCACCCAGAGTAATGGGGTAAGAGCGGAGCACCTCTGTCCTGCGAGCTCTTCTAAAACCTTCCATGCTCCCTTTCTGTGCGTTGCCATCATTCTCCGTACTAACTTCTGGCTCTCCGGTGCTGCACTGCTCTGAAATAATCAACTGTTCCGGTATCTTCTGCGCATTAAAAATACAAGAGTGTCTACCTGTGTGTGTGTATACATGCAAACATGGCTATGTATACAGACACAAAAGCAGCTGCTAACATTAGATGCGATTTCTGCCTCTGCTGAAAACATAGATCACTAGGCTGATACCTACTAACTTCCTGTCCTTGCTTTTTTCGTCTCTAATTTGAAGGCACATTATTAACATGCTGAAGCGTGGCAGCCAGAGCACCTTGGGGTATGCATTGTGCCAGCACTTAAATCTGACTTAAGGATTTTGGCAGATTGCCTTGGGGCTTTTTTCCCTTTCACACACAGATTTCCCACCATTATCCTGTTGAGTTTTAACTTCGTGGAGATATCTACGTTCCTTGGGCTGCTTGAGTTTTATTTTTTTATTAATGTATTTTTCCCCCCCACTCTCCTTTCAGCCTTAGTTGTTATACATCAATCTCTTTTTAAATCCTGTGTTTGATCAAGGAAGCTTTCTGCAATCCACTCAAAATAGGCCAACAAAACCTAGCGACAATAATCCTTCTTCTACTACAACCGAAACGATTACCCGCTCCACTTGTCTTTTCTCCTTTGCAAGAAGAACTGGTTGGGTTTTCTGGAGATTCAGCCTCTTAGTGTGCACTTGGTGTGTTTGTGCAGAAATCCAGGCTGTCAACAGAATCTACGTTATCCCTAATAACATCCACCAGGAAAGCAACACAGCCAGCACTGGGGCACGTGCAAATATAAAGCAGAAATGTTGAGGCATTTGCCATGGAGGCAGTAGGCAGGTTATGGTGCCTTTCTTTTTAAACTCACATTTGATTTTTCTCTCACTAAGCATTGTGTTCATGAATGTTTGTTTTTCTACTCCCTCACAAATGGTATACAATACCAGTTTTGCAAATCACCTAACTTGCTGGACCTTTTTTAAATGCATGTGTTTCTTTATAGAACTGTTTAACATACAAAGCTTTCTTGACTTCTTAGTTCTTATACTTACTTTTATAATAGCTTCAGAAGAAAAAAAATTAATGCTTTGCATGTTTTGTAATTTTATCCTGATCTTCCTTCAGCTTTTTATTTGGTTTAGCTGTCTTGTCTTTATCTTCAGTCTAGCAAAATGTGATGTGATGTAATGTAATGCAAAATCTGGGGTAATTTGAGTATTTTGCATTTACTGCATAGTATATGAATTAAGATGGTGGTACTTGCATAATACTAATTCAGGTTGCTGCATAAAAAAAAGAGGAGAAAGATGGGATGGCACTGAGTTTCCAAAACATTTGGATTTTGATACTATCTCAGCAAAGACACCATTGCTTGTTTTTATCTCACTGTAAAACGTAATGTCGGAATGCATGTGTTCTGCTTCACAGCTCTATGTTTGCAGCTATATAACTCTTTTATTTGGTAATTGAGATGGGCCATAAGTCCTCATTTATAACCTCATTTCTAGACCAATCATCAGGATTCCACACCACAGTGAATAAGTTGGAGAAAAGGGGTTGTGAAGGTCTATTTTAATTTAACTATTTTTGTACGTATATACACATACACATATGGCTATGGTTGATTACTTAAGGAAAAATTACTTCTAAGAAGAAAAAGAGTAAGTTTTGCTAGTTGAGGAATATGGGAGGAACTTTTTATATTTTGTTTGTAGATCCTCCTCTAATCCCATAGTTGAGGTCAGTGACGACCAGAAGTACTTTCAGTAAGAAAACATTACTGTGCAAGAATAATTACTTCCATGGAAGGCAAAAGGAAAGGCTATCTCCCCGTGGTGAGAATGAATTCTGGTATAAACACATTCTCAGGAACATTTGTCACTTAGTAGTTACCAGACAGTTGTTTATTTAACAGATTTAACTGTCCCCATTGAACATAAGAAATATTCAGAGTTTATTATGATCCTTCAAGACTTAAATGTCAGAAATAAACATTATGTTATAGAAAGGTCAGTCTTGCAGTTAACACAAATTCAGCTGCATCCTAAGAAACAACGTGTTCAGGAATAGTGTGTGGGGTAAGGTTTGAGGCTTAGGTTGATATTGCAACTTTCCTTCATCTTTCCCTGTAAGTCTAACAGGACGAGTCAACAAAAGCTGCTTTTTTGAATAGAGTAGTTTTTCATCTAGGTAAAAGAATGTAGAAAGTTGTCATCCTAATTTAAATAATGACCAAAAATGAGACTTAATTTCTTTGATTCAGCTGTTCCCAGTTTGCCTGAATCATAGAAAGGTCTTAATAATACAAAAGGCCATGCAGGCCATCCTCTAAATGAGAAAAAAACTAGTTCTCCCACTGGAAAGACAGCATCTTAAACTAATGTAAATATCCTTTAGTAGAGTTAAAATCCACAATGAGGTCTTTCTCACTGAGGTAGCATATGCTTCATCATTCTAATATGGCAAAAAAGAAGATTTGAGTCACTCATTTGAATGTAACAATCCAGCTAGAATAAAATGTACAGAGCCACTGGCACTCCAAGCATCAGGGTGTTATACATGCTATGAAATTAGTAATCTGAGAGTGTTCCATTCCAAATGTCTTGGTTTCTCAGCCAGAGTCCTCAGGGAAGCACAGGCACAGAGGGATGGAGTGACTTGTTCAAGGCCTTTAGCAGATTGCAAGGGAACAGAGTGTTCAGGGCTCCCAGTGCACCATGCTGTTAACTGAACCCCTCTGCATCTCCTCAATATTTGAGAAATATTTGACAGTTTGGGGGGGAAAAAATGATGCTGTTTTAATCCTGTGTGCCAAGTTTTCCACTGGCTACTAGCACATGATGGTACTAATGGGGTTCTGCTCTATAAGCAGTAGGAGTACCCAGGACATGGGTACTCATTTCCTTCTTTCAGCTCAGCTCCTACTGAGCCACAGTGAGCCCTCACTGGCACTGAGTGACCTGAAACAATTTGAAGTAAGAACAGAGACACAACGGAGGCACACACACACTTTGTGCCACATCATTAGTAGGCCATTCACCTTGATTTTAACTTGTTTTAAGAAAGAAATAATTACTGACAGAGTAGATTGTGTAATCTGATAATAGTTTTCACACTTCCATTTATTAAACCTCATATGAGGAATAGCTGCAAATGGACAAAGTAAGCCTTACTTTTAAAAAATAATTTCCAATAGGTTCGTTGTCAGGAGTAGGCTTTTTGTTCTGCAAGTGATGTGATTTTGAATGTACACCTTCTCAGCCATAATTAGCTTTCACAAATGCTTGCTGGGGAAATGGACAAAATCATGAACAGTAGTTGAAAGTGTATGATAAACAGGTAAAACACTCAGCTAGTCACTGATTAATTAGAAGGGATTCTTACAGTGGGTCTGTTTTGACAGTCAAATAAATAATTTCTTATTTCAGTAATTTACTTCATCCTCTGCATTTAAAATAATAAACCTGATCATACAGATGCAACCAGAGATAAGTCTTGTGGTTTCGAGAGATGCTGTCAAAACCCTGTTTTGTTCTTTTGTAGTTGTCATGTTTTGTGTGCACAAGGGCAGCGTCTGAGTTCTGACAGGTAGTGCTAGGAAAGACTGCATGTATTTTTCATTGTTGGAGTTTCCAGTTATTATGAGCTAATGACTATGATTTGGAAACTGAACTTAAAAGACCATGAAAAACCGTCTTACATGCTTGTACTATAGTTTTGATGCCTGATGAAGATGCAAGGTTCAGTGTCTGAGATTGAAAGGAAGACAAGTTGAGATTTGTTAATAAACTGACTCGTAGTTAATGGAAATTATATTGAGTAAGTGTATTGGGTATAAATTTGTGCAGCAGCACTACATAAAGATGTTAAAATATCAGACTAATGCACAAGATAAACAGACACAGGCAGCTGTAAAAGAGTAAACATTGCTCTTTTCTTTGACTACAGTTTAAACCAAGTGGATTAGGTAGGTAATGTAGCCGGCCAAGAACAGCCTGTCTTCTTCATGAGTTTTAAACTTGATTCTCTTTTTTTTTTCCTCCTGCTCTCTCTGCTTCTGATTGACGCTTGCAGAGTGAAAGTAGCAGCAGTAGCAATATCTCCACCATGCTGGTGACACACGATTACACGGCAGTGAAGGAGGATGAGATAAATGTCTACCAAGGAGAGGTCGTGCAGATTCTAGCCAGCAACCAACAGAACATGTTTTTGGTGTTCAGAGCCGCCACCGATCAGTGCCCCGCAGCCGAGGGCTGGATTCCCGGCTATGTCTTGGGGCATACCAGTGCAATCATCATTGACAACCCTGATGGAACCATCAAGTGAGTGTCTGGGTGTGTGTAGAAGGAGAGGAAGGAAGAAAACTTCCAATTTAGAGAAGACTTTGAACCTTTAAGGCCAAAAGTTGATGTGATCACAGAGAAATAAATGAACAACAAGTAGAACAAGTACTAGAGAGGTCCCTTAGCAACCGTCAAAATAAAGCTAGTGAAAAAGATCCCAGAAGCACATATTCTTTATTAAAGAGTTTCAATAGCCTAGTCTTCTGGGAAAAGAATGCCTTATCTAAGACCAGAAATCATTTATTTTAACTTGTTTATTTAATAGTGTGAGTTGCCAGTCTAGACACCTTTGTCTAGCAAAACAGGGAATGTTTGTTCAAATAAAACAAGATTTCAGAGTTCCTAGATATGTGCTTTAAGCCACAAACCTATTAAAATTACTGTATGCTAGGAACAACTCTCTCATCTCTGTGATGGAAGAAATTATATCAAAGTTCAGTTTGAATTTTATGTAAAGCTTTTGTAAGGCTGCATTTGGTATGGGTTTCATACTGTTTGTTGCTCGGTTTGAGTGACAGTTTGCATTTTTATATAGAAAGTTTACCATTCGAGCAATGATTTCAAGGAATACTGAACTTCAGAGTACATTACTAGCTTTTCACAGTTTTAGCCAAGGGTGGCATCCCTTATGGAATACTTAATGCATTTCATTTTACTGTACTATAATACATAGAAATAACATTTTGACATACTTTTCCAATGCCATGTGAAACTGGATAGTACGGGACATAACAGGGAGTTGAACAGAATTGATCAGAGTTGTATGTTCTCTGTTCAGGAAGTCAACGTCTTGGCACACAGCACTCCGATTAAGGAAGAAATCTGAGAAAAAAGATAAAGACGGCAAAAGGGAAGGCAAGCTAGAAAATGGTTATCGCAAATCCCGAGAAGGACTTGCCAACAAGGTTTCTGTTAAAGTAAGTCTTCAAAGATGTCATTTCCAAAAGAAGTTGGGTTCGGATTTCTTTAAAAGGAGCTTCAGTCAGAACTTCACAGGAGGGAATCAAAGGCAGCAGTGACTTTAGTGGACAGTTTCTGCCAAATCTGAAAACAGAAAGTTAGAATCTTCGAACCTGAAAGCATCATACAAAAAAAAAAAAAAAAAAAAGAGGATACCGTAAAAAGAATAGAGTAATGTTCAGAAATTGTGGTATTCAGATGTTTCTTGGACTTTTGTGGGTACGGCTAACTTTGATCCATCTCTATGCTTGGTTTTCTACCATTCTTTAAGTTATTATAAGATTATCAGGACATTAATTCTTTAATTTCTCCTTTCCAGCTTCTCAACCCCAATTACATTTATGATGGTAAGTTGTTTTAATTTTTAAAAGTTTCAGTCACAGAATTTGATTAAAACATTATTTGCTTGATATGAATTATGTCAGGAACTGAGTGCTTTCTACCGAAATATATATGGGGTCTTTACAGATAAGGTAGAATGAAATACATCGTACTTTTTTTTTAAGATGCAAGAAACACTTCTTTATTCACAAATTCAAAACAACATAAAACACAAGGACCATATGATGTGTTCTGTATGGAAGTGTGACCTTGCTGAATTTGCAAAGTAACAAGGCCAGGAGTTGGAGCTGCTTTATTTTCAATCTTGCACCCTAGGGAATATTCAGGACCTCTCCAGTGCAGAGGCAGATCAGGATAAAGATGGTGGCCCATTGGGGTCAGAGCCAAACGGAGGTTTTAGTTTAATAGACAGAAAAAAAGGTTTTGAGTTTTTGAGTCTGTGGAAAAGGGAAAGCACTACAGTGCTTCAGTGCATGAAGTGTGTTTTGCAAACTTGGCTGGATGTGAAGATAGCCTAGCTGAGCACATCCTTAAATACTTTTCAGTGTAGACTTCCCTCACTTACCATAAACTGGGTGTTTGGTTCACCATGGTAGGCTTTTGAGTTATCTGTGGCACAGCAGTAATGTTGTGTCCAAGTTCATGTAGAGAAAAATTCAGCAGCCCTGTAGAGTCCCAGCAAGGGGCCTAACCGTGGATGTGCTCCAAGGGCGGGGGATATATACACCTTGGGAACCTAAAGTACTACTTCATCTAATAGAAAACAGTGCAGGGAATAGAAATTAAATGTATTTGCTTCAGTTTACCTAATGCCATTAATTTTCTTTTTCCAGTTCCCCCAGAGTTTATAATTCCATTGAGTGAGGTAACATGTGAGACAGGAGAGACCATCGTGCTTAGGTGTAAAGTCTGTGGTCGCCCCAAGGCTTCAGTTACTTGGAAAGGTCCTGATCATAATACACTGAGCAATGACGGTCATCACAGCATTTCCTACAGGTAATTGGTGCCATGCTCAACAGGAACTCCTGAAACTGTTACGTTTTTAATTTGCACCCCTGGTGCGGGACAGCGTTTGGCTTTGAGGCATGAGGATAGGGTTGCTCTCAGACAGAAATATATAATCACTGAGATTTTCCAAAAATGTGTCACTTCTGCATATGGCTAGGGTAACAAAATGGTATAATCAGTTGAGTCTTAAAAACAAAATAAAATTAATCTTCTCTTTCTCATTAGCTATTGCAGAGACCATTGTGGTCTGTCACACTGACCTGGTCCTTGAAACAGACCAGTGTGTTGTGACATGCCAGTTCTGTGACAGACCCTGCCAGTCCCTTATTTCCATTAGTGACTTTCAGATAACACTACTGTGTTTTGCAAAGAAGCCTCTGCTTCCTATTGCTGGGACGTCACTCTTCATTGTTGAAGCGTGGATATTAACATGTTTCTCTGTTTTTAGCTTTGCTATGATAGAGCATAACAGAATAACTGGTAACAAACACCAGGAGAAATTTTTCAGAACTTGTTATTTTGGAGTAGGAAGCTGCAGGTTAAAAAATACTTTTTTTTTCCTGAAAAAACATCTTTTACATACAGAAAATGTAGTTTAATTTGTAACTTCAGTGTGAAGAAATGTCGTATTTATGAATTATACTCTTAATTCAGAATGAAGGGCTCTTTTTTGAAAATTTGATGGCATGTTATACTGTTCTTTACTTCCTGGTGCTCCTGCTTTTTCTTTTCATTGGGTTTTTTGTTTCTGTTAATGGGAAGACAAAGGCAGTGTGGCAGCTTTACTCCTGCATCCAGGGCTGTCGTGAGATGTGCAAGAGTTAAATTTGCTAGGTTTAATTCTCTGTTACTCATTACGGAATTATATCCAGTGAATAATCTTGGCTGTGGCTGACAGATATTTAGAAATAATCCTGAAATGTTCTTTGAGTTGGGAAAAGGTGTCATCTTCCTGTGTTCCTAAAATTTACCTTCTTTTTTCTCCCCTGAGATTGTGTGGTGAAGACCATTGCAAATAGATTTTAGGTCAGTCAGTAAAATGACTTGTAGCAGCTGAGATGAATCCTGACTCACAAAGGAAAGTCTGATAAAATATCTTGAAAATATGCTTTATATTGGGAAAAAACAACACGATATTAGGATTGGTTTGAGCCTAGAGGTGAAAGGTGTAGGGAGGACTTGCCAAGTATTCACATTTTTAAGAGACTTGCAAATTAAATTATCTGTTGTTCATGTCCATGGCAGATAGTAAAAAGACTACTAGAAATTTATTGCACAGAGGAAACTTTAAGCAGACTTTTAAAGACAAAGCATCAAACAAAAAGGGTGGCTGAACAGTGAGAAAAGTTAAGGAAGAGCCTGCAGAGTCTTTCTGCTCTGGTATTACCTAGCTTAATGCTGTCGCTGCCCTGGAGCAGAGAGTAAACTTAAGTCCTTTCTAGTTTCCTTCCATCCTCATTCTCCCAGATTCTGAGGTCTCCAGAGCTGTGGTGAAGCGTGACTTTTATGTTAAAGGGCAAGCCTGCTCTTACAAGGTGTGAATGCTCTGAAAGCACAAATGACTGATCAGCTGACACCTCCTTGGAGTCACAGATGGAAACGAAGCTTTCAGAAAGAACAAGGATGGATATTTGTCTCCATATGGTTTCCGAAAACTTGAAGTAGGTAAAGGAAGCAGGAAGAAACAGGGGAAGCACTTGATTTTTCCAACAGTAAAGCCTGAGACATGGTGAGGCAGAGTGTCAGTTGGGTTGTTTTTCTAGTGATTTGTAGGACTTCCCAAGATACTGAATGAACACAAAGTGCTCAGGTTCTGGTGGACGCTTCTGATATGGCAGGGCAGGGTTTTACTATGTTCATCCAGAGAGAGATAAGAACTGGAGAATAAGAAGCATAAAGAATGTCAACCTCACTTTGTCTGATTTCCACAGCTTAAGGTCTGTGCAGTTACTGTAAAGTTAACAGCTGCCCTTGTGTTTTGCAGTGACTTGGGAGAGGCGTCGCTGAAGATCGTTGGCGTCACTGCGGAAGACGATGGTATCTACACGTGCATAGCTGCAAACGATATGGGTTCGGTTTCATCCTCCGCCAGTCTACGAGTTTTAGGTAGGCCTGCCTCTGCCTTCTCCTAGAGCCTAGGTGCAGTTTAAGTGCCTGGTACCCACAGAAGAGAAAAAAGCAAAGCTCAGCTCCTGGGCACCCCTTTGTTAAAGGACCCTTTTTACCTGTAATATATTATAATATAATATTCCTGTTTCAGCACAAATAGATGCAGTTTTAGGATATAACGGATTAGAGGTTCATGCACACATTCCACAGTACTGTCAACGAGGATTCACTTTGCCAGTACGAGTTCAAATACAGTGATAAAATCATATTTTATCATCAGCATTCTTAGTTTAGTCTCAGTGAATGTTATGATGCTCACATAATTTCTAAAGTGTACAGATAAGAAAAGAGTAGCATTACTTTGTAATTTATTTTTCTCCTTTGCTTGAACTGTAAAGCCACAATTTTTAGGAGAACATACAACTAGTTCTTGTCTTTGCATCATTGATCTACAGTTGAACCATTTCAGTACATGAAGCAAGGCAACCTGAATGTGAGGAATGAAAAGGAAACGTGCAAAAACAAAAAAATGCCTGTGTTCTGCAGGCAGACAACAAAGGGCAAAAAAAAATTTTTTTTTATGTGTTTGATGACATAGTGATAGGTTTTGGGGTGTGTTCGTACACACACTTATTCTTGTCCTAAGTGTTCACAATTCTCCATTTTTAGAAACAGGGAAAATATAGACAGCAGGATCACAAATTTTCTTACAAGGCAGCTCATAACAATTGATGCCATCTGGGTCCTTTAGTGTATTGTGAGGCCCATATATTTTTCCACTGATGAGAATTAGTTAATAGATTCTAGCACAATGGCTTTGTCTCAAACTGACTCACATAAAAAACCCCAAGACATGAAGTGTCTCAGCTGATACGGGGATTTGTCCCATACCTCTTCAAAATATAGTCTTTATTCCTTTTTTTTCAAAGAGCTTTGCTGCTTTCCTGGAATTGTAAACCGGACTGTGAAAGATGTGTCCCTTCCAAATCTCATCTGAAATTTTGGGGTATTTATATTCAGCCTCTTTCAGCTCTGCCTGTTGGTAGCTATAGTAAGTGCCTTACTGACAACATATTGAGGTGGTGATTATTTCAGGCACTTCCTGCTCACTGACCCAAGACAGACAGTAGCTATGCCCTTGGATGAGTGTGTTGTAATATATAAAAGAGGCTGAAAGGGAAATTTTGGTCTTTGTACTAGTGTTTCCTGAAAAGTAGGAGTTGCTCTCTAAGGTAGCTGCTACACTGCCTGGCCACTTCTTTTTCTAGTGGTAGATGTATTATGCATTATAAGGTATAATGCAAGATGTCTTTTCTTTTTACTGTTTCCCTCAGCTTGCTAAGGTTACTCATTCCTGTACAGACAGTTGCCACTGTAACCTGAATTGTTTCCACAATAGAATTGGTTCTACTGCATTGGCTGGGCTGCCTTGGTGTATAATCCAGTTTGTTTTGCTGCCACCCTGTGTCTCATATGGGGATTAATAAGATGGGGTGATTCCCCTCATAGCCAAGGGATCTGAGTGTATTAAATCTTGGACATACTGTCCTTCTCTTTTTTGTTTGTTTGTTTAGGTCCTGGAAGTGATGGGATCATGGTCATCTGGAAAGACAACTTTGATTCCCACTATAGTGAAGTGGCTGAGCTTGGCAGGTATGTTCTTTATGCTGATCTCCAAAGCTGTCTGTGTCAAAATACTGACTTCTCTTTCAAAAATTAAATTCTCCTTGATAAATACTTAATGTGTGGATTTAATAGAAGTGAGGAAGCACAACTTTTACCAGCACTAGATGGCACTACAGAAACAGAATGCAGTTAGGCTGAAGTGGTATTGTAGGGATTTATTTGAAGGGATATATTTTTTGAGCATCCCTTACAGTGACTGACACTGCTTCTGTAGTGAAGTTCTCCTCAACCTTCTTATTTAGGGAATGAAAACTACAGACAGAAGAAGTCTGAAAATGGGCAAAATAACTCCAGTAGAATACACAGGGGGCCAACTTAATGATGACCTTTGAAAACTGGTTATTACTCTGACAGGCTGTCTGCAAGTATGATATAACAGATCTCTGGCAAGTTTCTACAGACACAATTTGTAGTAAATGCATGCACTGAAAATTCTCATGCCCAGAACCTTCCTCTGTAAGGGTAACTCATTAGAGATCAAAAGCAGATCTCTTGACATATATCTTTCAAGTATGTCCTTATTGCATCTCTTGGTTAAATCTTTCCTTTCATTGTTGTGTTCCAGGGGCAGATTTTCTGTCGTTAAGAAGTGTGACCAGAAGGGAACCAAGCGAGCAGTAGCCACTAAGTTTGTGAATAAGAAGTTGATGAAGCGAGACCAGGTTACCCATGAACTTGGAGTCATGCAGAATCTCCAGCATCCCCAGCTCATTGGCCTTCTCGATACCTTTGAGACCTCCACCAACTACATACTTGTGTTAGAAATGTGTGTGGACTCTAAATTATCTGTAAAATGCAACTTTACAGCTGACTTTCTGGGGTATTTATGGTGGTTAATGAATAAGGAGCTCTAAAATTTCATAGCTGTTTGAAAGTACCTAAGTAAAATACTGCAGTTGTCTAATGCTGTTACTAAAGTGTTGAGTTTAATACTCAGAAGAGAGAAAATAGTGATATTAAATTTACATGTGGATGATTATCTTAGTCTGAAGGTTGAACAGTATTTTTGTATCAAATGGCCACAAAAATGAATTAGGAATGTTGTGATCTGGTAGCTAGATATGATTCCTCCTCTTCATTCCCCAGTCCTTTGTGTTGTAAGCTCTGCAATCTGCAGTTACTGCTGTAGTTTGTAGCCTCTTGAGGTATTTTTCAGTTGTGATGCATGGATTAATCGAAAATACAACCCTTGTAATTCTAACAGGGCTGACCAGGGTCGCCTTCTGGACTATGTCGTGCGATGGGGAAACCTCACAGAAGGGAAGATCAAACTCTACCTGGGAGAGATTCTGGAAGCTGTGCAGTATCTTCATAACTGCAGAATAGCACACTTGGACCTAAAGGTGAGGTGTTAATGGGATTCTGGGCAGTGTGCATCATTCCGGGCATAAAAATCTCCCTCTTCTAGAAAACTTGCAGCTGGGAACAGAGAGCTGTGAAGTGCTTTGAGAGTCATAAAGGACTCCCCAATGGCTTGGAGCTTCATTCCTAAATGCTTTAGGTAACTCAGGCAGCAAAGTAGAAACTTTCAATTCCCTGTACTTTCTCCTTATAGCTTGTTTGCCCTGTGTGGCCCTTTGTGCTGGAAATAATTGCCAACAGGAAGTTTTGTTTGATTATTTATTTATTTATTCATTTATTTATTTAATTTCTGATAAACTTGCACCAGAAATGGATTTCTTTCTCAAGTAGCATAGAGTTTATTGTGAAAGAGACTGCTTTTCCTCTTTTGCTGCAAAAATGTTTCTCATCTTTGCACTTTGAGGGCTCTAATACCTAAATTAATGGTGCCTCTTTGGGCCTTTGTTCTTCCATTTGTGTGTTACTTGAGCCACAAGGGTTTTATGCATTCTAGTTTAAAAAACTATATGAGAAGGTCCCAACGTAAATATTAATTAAAAACTTACTCCTTACACTTTTTTTTTCACGTGTATATGAATAATAATTTTAGCATTGACAAGTCATCTTTATAGGCAGGGTCTCTTTAGCCAAATGGGGTCATGGTGAGAAGAAGCAAAAAGCCTGAGTTTCTTCCCTCCATGTACTTCTGTTTTCCAAGCAGAGCCAGTTTTGGGTCTTCATCCCATTAAATTTTTTCTAGTGTGCTATAGAGAGTTCACCAGTAATTTTTCTGGTCTCACATACAGATGAACTAATTAAAAACTAGTTGCAGGTGTAAGTTGCTCTTACTTTGCAGAGATTACAGCTACAGCAGCGTTAGCTTTAGAAATAAAACTGTAGTAATAAGTCCATTTTCAGCTCACCAATAATGGGGCACTTCTCTTGAAGTCATATGCATCCAACAGGATCTTCTGCTGCTGTAGTCTCCAGGGTTTGTCTTCCATCTGTACAGCTGCATTACATGAAAGAGTTGCTAAATAAAGCTGGATTCTGTTGAAAGCATCATGCAAATATTTACAAAGTCTTCCAGTCTTTAAATGCAAGGGTTTTGTTTGTGTCTCTTGTAAAACAAATGGAGCAGTTGCTTTATTCACCCTCTATACATAATTGTTGTTCCTTAAGCTTAAGTTTTGAAACACAGTTCCTGTGAAGCTTTGCAAAGCTGCTGTCACAAACAACTGAAGTATTAACTGGCAGAGCTATATTTCCTGCAAAAAATACAGTGCCAGCAGCTACAACAGCTAAAGCACATTCACTGCATGTTGCAATAGGCAAGAACCCACCTGCTGGTTGGTCTGGGGAAGCCTTGTTATGACTGCCTCAGAGCTTTGCAGAGCTGGCCTTCTGCAGTGATCCTTATAGAGTGCAGCTGTTTATGTTCTAGGGCTGACCACACTTGCTGGGAAGCAGTTAAATTGGAGCATTAAATCTGTGTTACACTGACTTGAAAAAAGACATTTTAACTTTTGCTTTTATATTTTCTAGCCTGAAAATATTTTGGTGGACCAGAGTTCCACTAAGCCAACAATAAAACTGGCTGACTTTGGAGATGCAGTCCAGCTCAATACCACGTATTATATCCACCAGTTACTTGGAAACCCAGAGTTTGCAGCTCCTGAAATTATTCTTGGAAATCCTGTTTCACTCACTTCAGATGTTTGGAGCATTGGAGTGCTCACTTATGTCCTTCTTAGTGGCGTCTCTCCTTTCCTGGATGAAAGCGTAGAGGAAACTTGCCTGAATATTTGCCGCTTAGACTTTAGTTTCCCAGATGACTACTTCAAAGGAGTTAGCCAGAAGGCCAAAGATTTTGTATGCTTCCTACTTCAGGATGACCCAGCTAAGCGTCCCTCGGCTGCACTGGCCCTCCAGGAGCAATGGCTGCAGCTGGGGAATAGCAAAAGTGCTGACAGCATTGATATATCCAGACTGACTTCGTTCATTGAGCGGCGAAAACACCAGAATGATGTTCGACCCATCCGTAGCATTAAAAACTTCTTACAGAGCAGGCTCTTGCCAAGAGTTTGACCTTGCTTGAAGTTCTCTCTCATTCTCTTTCACCTGCCAATCAATCAGACTGGAGATGGACTCCTCCTGCCAATCAATCAGACTGGAGATAGACTCCTCCTGCCAATCAGCTGTTGACTTGAATTTTGAGGAAAGCAAACCCCAAGCCAACCAGCTGCTAGTGAATGTTCGTGTGCAAATGCATTCCACAGGGACCCGCGCAGGGCGGCGCGGGGGACTGGAGATGCAGACTTCACGGGGGTGGAGGACAATAGCACTGTACTCTGCAAAAAGCAGTCACAAGCGATACAGCAACAGTATTTTATTCAGGTTTCTGCAAAAAAAAAATAGTTTTTTTAATAAACAAGAGTTGAATTTTGCAAGTGAACTTAGCTACCGTTTTCAAGATTTATTCAAGGAAGAAATGCCTATGTTTAAAGCACTGGTGTTAAACAAAAATCAGATCATGCCTGGAGAAGACTCACTAAAATGGCTGCCCATTGGTACGGCCTCCATTTATAACATCTGGTTTTCACTTGGTCCTAGAGCTTTCCAGTTGCCTCGCCTGTATGTATCTCACGTAGCAGTGCACTGAGATCAGACTCTGCTTTTAAGTGCATCCAACCTCAAAAGATTTTGCATACAAATAGAATGAATTGTTTTGCTCTGATAAAATGTAGGCCTTACTTGTATATAGACTGTTACCTGCCTTCGGTCTGTAATTTTTTTCCCTCTCCTCTCATCCTTTTTTCCTCCCTCCTTCCTAAATGGTGGTATACCACTGTGCGGGTCTTCAGTTTGGGTCAGTAGTCACTGTCCCCCTAGAAAAGAACTTTGGGTTGGTGCCCAGCTTGCTGACCCAATTGTCAAGCAGTATACAGCAGGATGAAATACTGTAAATGCACTCATTTGGGATTTTGTTTTCTTTCATATCATGTGCAATGTTGTGGCTTTAACATTTTATGCAACTATTTATGAGGACCTCTGTTGTAACTGTAATAAATATATAGAAAAAGCACATAGTACGGCGAGCTTTATGGTTTTGTTTGTGTGATTGGGGGTTCTGGGTGGGCATGGGCGGGTGTGTTGTACCACACTGTCATTATTAGTTTAAGATGAGGATTAGCATGGAATTTAGTCAAGACTAGTCAGTTTTAAGGATTGTTAAAAAGAAAAAAATTAAGAGAGAGAGAGAGAGAGATTAGTATCCCAAATGTCAAACTGGTTAAGAAGTAGAGTGACACTTTTAAAAATTATTACTATTATATTTAAAATGCCAAAGTCTGACTTTCCCCAGATCAGTCTCAACACTTAACTACTTTTTAGAATTTTCAAATCTGTTTTTTTACTTCTTTCTGTGAAATGAACAAATTAATCTTGTGGTCTTTGGTGAAGAATACATTTGGCAAGTAGCAGTGAGATGAGGAGAATTGGACATGTAATGTAATTGTCTTAGTAACTGTTTTTAAGGTTGAAGTAATATTAGCGTGAGATATTTAAAAAGACAGAGATGGTTTTCTGTGCATCACTGAGTTCATGTGGGTGTGTTGTCATCTTTGTTTGTGTGAAATGCCATGTTTAAGGAAACCAAGCTGACATCCCACAAGAGTTAGATATATGGGTGTTAAGCCATAACCTAGCTTGGGTTAGTTTTGAGCTTTGTGGCTTCCACTGAATCCTATTTATTCTTTTTTTTTTTTTTTTTTTTTGGTTTTTTTGAGGTTTTTTTTGTAAAGTTGTACAGAAACTTTTAAAAAGAAAACAACTGACTTCGAAACTGGATGTGTATTCGTTATTCGTACCAACCTCATATCATTATGTTTGTGTATTATTTTCCTTTATTGTTTTAGTTAAATTTTTGCTTTATTTTGCATGTATATTTCTTTGTACAGTGATGTTACATGTTTACACAGTATGACATGATGTAAATATTTTATTTTGCCATCAGTTATTTTGAAAAAAATTAAACATATTTGACATAATTGTCTGATCTCTTGCTTTAAGAAGTTTGAGGGTTTAGGTTTGGCTATATTTTAATTTGGCTCTGTTATTTTTTTAAAAAAGTATGTTCTTTTATTGCCATAAAATTCATTTTAAATTGCAATGATGTATCTTTCCTTCATGCCTTACAAAATAATATTTGCCTTTGCTTTAAGTGTTGATTGCTTTGTAATGTCATGAATGCTTTTATATAAAACATGCGTAACTCCCTAACTGTGGAAATGTATTCTGGTCTTTATTAGCTAGTACATTTTGACCAGTAGAGTTTTCTACCAGATGTTCCCAGTTAAAGACCACAGGATTGTATTTCAGAAGAACAGATTTCCCACAACTTTTAGGCATTCCAGATTGATTATGAAGAAAAGTTACTTTCAAGCATAAAGATCTGGGATTTGCAACTAAACTTATAAAGCAGAAAAGTTTCTTATTGTGTATATTTATCTTCCTCCCTTTTCTGCCATCAGTAACCATTTACAATTCAAAATTAAGTGAAAGGTCAGGGAAGAATACAGAGAGTTTGTGTTTGTTGCTGCACTGTATACAGAATTATTTTTTCCCTGCTCTTTTCCACTATTCCCTGTCAGGTGATAAAACAGTCCCTTTATTACTTACTGGGAGAGACAACTGAGAGAGACATTTTATGTATAGAAAGACAGAGGATATTCAGGAAGGACCTCTTCACAAGTATGAGCCAATGGAAGCTTTTTCCAGGACAGGGAAGTCATGGATGAAGATGGCTTTGTGGAACGATTCTTGTCTGAAGATGTACTAAATTAGGGATAAGTTACCCAAGTGCTTTACAGACAAATAATGCACTCGTAGGTGTTTCATGTAGCAGAGATGGATTCTTTGGCTCCCATGTAAACAGGAGCTCTTTCCAGTCTTCTCCATGAGCCCCTTACTTGAGACAGCCAACATATTTCAGCAGAGTGGAATTTTGCACAAAAACCTGCAGTTTGGTGCAAGAGCTTCCAGCTGCACAAAGCTTGAATGATGATCTTGAGCTTCAGATCTACTTGTTAATCAGTTGAAATGCTTGGAAGAGATAATATTTATAAGGTACTTCTGTTTTGCCAGATTGTGTAGTTGAGGCTGCAAATGCCCGTGGACTTGTTTGGGCGCAGTTGTTGTTGACTGTCCTGCACACCGCAAAGCAGCACTGCAGGCTGATAGAGAGCGGAGACCAAAAACATGGGTCAGAGCCGCTGGTGTGAGGCCCTGATGTGGGAATATTGTAGAACACAGGGAATGGCAGTCAGTGTCACAGCTGAAAGGAGGGGAAGTAGCTGGGGAGATTGAAGAGAAGACTCTTCAGTGTTTCTTCTTCATAACATATACCCCAATCACTTCTCACTGATAGTTTAGGAAGAGAAGACGTTGGCAGACTTTAAAGTCAGTGCATGAGATAGTACTTTTAAAGTTGAGTTTGGGAGCCCCATTCTTCTTGCGTGTGTAATGAACACTGATTAACTTGAAGGCCATTGTGCAACTGCTAAGCAAAAAGCCTGACTAGATAATATTTCCATGATCAGGGAAGCAACCTACATTGTCTTCCTAACGGGCAGAGGCCTATCACATACCTGCCTGTGCTGCTGTTGACTGTAAGTCATTCTCACATGGGACTATTAATGTGTTGATGGATAGAAGAAAAAAATAATTGATTTCTTCTTACTCCAAATCCAAAAGTATGGTCACGCCAGGGTGCAACAGAGATCCTCCAGAATGACACAGAAAAAGCATCTGGCTTCTTGAAAATATTTCAGTAACCACGCAAACCTGACTGGTAGTAGAAGATGCCTGAAAACATAATGGGATGTTCTTTGCATGTAACGCACTGCATGACATTGCCAGGAAGCTTTAAAACCCCACCGCAGCGGGAGTCAGTGTAGGACTCCATTTCAAAGGGGGCTGGTGAGTATGAAATGGATGTTACCAAGGATGCCTTACTTGAGGTTAAGCTCCATGGCTCCCAAAGATATTAAGAGAAATGAAGACAGGAATATACTGAACTGTCAGCTGTGGGTAGTAAAGTCTTGGAGTAGTTGGTATTCGGTGAAGTATTTGTTCAGGCAATCTTTGCTGCTACAGCAGTGTATCCATGTGCTAGGGATTAGTGTAGGGAGTGCTGCCATGTCAGCTCCAGTCCAGAAAATCCTTTAGCTACCTTTTCCATGTATGAATAGACTTAGTGTGGAGATGTTGCTAATGTCTCTGCTATAGGCATTCAGGTGCACATACGGAGGTAGGAAGAACCAAAGAAGACTTAAGTTTCTCTATTTGTTTAAATGAGCTCCAGGTATTGTGGTGCTTTTGTCAGAACCACTGCTTTATCCCTCAGGCAAACAACTTCTGAATTTCTTCCTTTCCTAAAATTAAATCTTGATGAAGGTTACATTGGAGAGTAACAGACAGGTGTTCCATCTGTAGAATTTTTACTTCCAGTACTTCTTGTACATTCATATCACCTCAAGCTGGCAAAAGACAAGAGGCTCTTTCAGCGTGCCTTATAATGCAGGAGCATGATGGTCTGTCTTCTCTCTCCTTCCTGGCAAGTAGATACCCAACACCCTGCTTCACATGCCTGGTGGTCACCTCAGCATTTCCCAGGTAACTGCACTCCGTGGTCCTCAGTGCTACACCGTAACACTGAGCATCAGCACAGGAATGGCATCTCCCATTTCAGTGACCTGCCACAGGGACTAGGAGCCTGAAGTTAGGAGCAGGAGAATATACTTCTCTCATTATGTTGTCCTCAAAACAGGAACGCTTCTCATCTCCCCTAAGTCACTGCCCTTAGCCCTTCCCAGAAGTCTGGGGGAATGGGTCTGGAGGGGCAGTTTGGGATATTGAGTAGAGCAGTCTGCTCTCCCCCTAAGTAATGTCAGGAGAGCCAGCACCAGGACTGCTAATCCTAAACTCCCACCAGCCAATCTGTGCCTTCCAATAAATGACAAAGCCAATATCAACCAACTCTAGTATGAGAGGAGAGCACAAGCTTCCAGTTTTCTTCACTGGTTGTAGGTTAAAATTATGAAACGGGCTAGAGATACATTTGAGGTTTAATATAGATTCTTTGAGCTCTGTACTGGAAAGATCCTTTCATTGTCTAATTGTCATGAGCAGTAATCTGAATGCTGCTTTTTAAATGAGTTTTAATATATGCATTTTCTTGACTGCTGGAGGGACTTTGTCTTTGTTGCTCAAAGAAATGTGAAGATGAGGTATTTCAGACTGCATCAGTTGCTGCTGCTGAAGCTTCAGATTCCATCATTATGCCTGTGGTAATATATTGGTTCTCAAGGTTCACATTTTCTGAAGGAAAATATCTGCTATCCAAAGAGCACACATAGCTATAGAAAGGACGAAATCTTAACACCAGAGCAACACTTCAATATCTGCAGGCTGAGTTTTCAGCTCCCAAAAGACGTTCTGTCCATTATTCTCATCTGTCATACTCAATGGTCTTCCTACAAAATCATGACTTTGTATCTCATGGATGAAAAGTCCATTGAGATTTACCTAACACATAATTGTTGGTTTAGAATAGAAGTAAACCAGTGATAGCCTCAAATTTGTGTAGCAACAGGTTATGAAGTTGAGCTATATATTGTGCCAAGAACCCACTGACATCTTCCTTTGATATCTCTGAAGCTTTCAATGGACAGTTCATCCCCCCAGCTTTTGTGTCCTACCTTTGCTTTTATGTCTGCTACTTACTTTTCATTTGGTCATCTGTTTACCAAGCTGAAGAGTACCAGTCTTTTTACTCCCCATGGGAAGCTGTTTCTCATCTTAATTGCCCTTTTCTGAACCTTCCCTAGTTCCAAGTTGTGTATTTTCTGTGATGGGAGGAGGCAAACCTTGAACAATATTTATGATACAGGTGCATCTTAACTTACACAGCTGGAAAATGGCATTTTGTTCTCCATTCCTTTTCTAAAAATTCCAAGTGTTTGACTTCTTTTGAGCTGATACTTTGTAGAATAATACATCCTGAGATCATGTTGCCAAGTTGAGCTTCAATGGTTCATTTAGAGTCCATGACCATATGTGTAAATCTTGAATTACCCCTTCAGCACATGCCCCATGAATAGTAATTTTCTTTTGTTGAGCCACTTTATTTCCTAGACAAAGCTGAGGTATTACAGTTGCCTTGGGGAGCAGTTGTTCTGATGGAACTGACTATAGAGATCTCTTATATTAAACAAATAGAAGCTGATTACTGCCAGCTTTCTTTTCTACTCAGATAGCCAGCCTAGCTTCCCTGACTTTTTCCAAGTACTTTTGCAGGACTTTTCTTGCCAGCTCCTGGAGCCATTTTTTCTTGTCTTGAGAGATGGAAATGTAACCCGACTTGGACTTGATTAGTCTGAAACTCTGCCCCTTTCCCATTAAATGTCAAACACTGATTTTAGTGACACTAGCACCTCAATTCAACAGAAGTATTCATTTGGGTCTCAAGCAGGAGGCTTGTTTCTCCAGTGAACTCACACATCAGGAGTATCTACAAATATTACTTGCAGAAATTTCACATTAAGTTTCCTGAAGGCTCCACTGGCAGTAGTCAGCACCAGGAATTCAGTTGGCACACCCTGAACTCGGTGTCTATGAGGGCTTACAATCCCAAGGGTTATTGCCAAGGCTGAGGAAGAGCTGGCAGCAGCTGAAAACTTGCCTTGTTGTACCACTGGGAATCTGTCTAATTGCTTTTGGTCAATTTACATCACGTATCCTGTCTGTTTTCGCATGTCTTGCCCATGTGTCACTGAAGACCCTGTGATCCCTTGAGATGGATGGTTCCTCGAGCTCTCAGACTTTCCCTTCAGTGATGCCAAGATCCACTGAGTATTTGCAGAATGATGTCATTTAATTTGCCATCTCTCAAGACTGATGGTGAAAGAGTGTTTCCTTCTTTGGTGATGGAGTGTTCTCCTGGGCCTTGCCCGGTTCTGGACTCTTTGCTTGCCAGAAAAACTCAAATCTAGGAAGCTCTACTAGTCCCAGTTAGTGCATTTAATGCAGCCATTGGTGTTCTGATTTTGTTGC